AAACTACTTGTCGGGCAGGTCATTCCAGGTCTACTTGAACAATGTCCCCTCTGATACGTTCAACGTAGATGCAGGGGTCTCTCAGGGTAGCCTGCTTGGGCCTATCCTATTCAACATTTCACGTCAGACGTTCCTCCCATGCCGGGTGGTGGTATCCTGTCAATGTTCGCAGATGACACCTCCATCATCTATAAGGGTCGAATGATTCGTGCTCTGGCGAGTAAACTACAGTCAGACATGGATGTTCGGTCCGAATATTTCAAGAGCTGGAAGATTTGTATCAATGCAGCTAAAACACAAACCATTCTGTTTCCACACTCGTATTCACCTAGACTTGTTCCACCTGCTAACGTCAAGATCCATCTTGATAGCACTCCCATTGAATGGTCGAGTGAAGTAGTCTACCTTGCTATTCCGATCCCATGTGGACAAGACATCCACCAAGTGTAACATCTTGATCAGGTCGCTCTACCCTCTGATAAACAGAAAGTCCACCCTGTCCCTCAAAAACAAGCTTGCTGTCAACAAGTAGATCATTCTGCCGGCTATTGAGTATGGTATGTCAATCTGGGAGAGTTGTGCTAAGCGGCACCACCTAAAGCTTCAGAATGATCCTTAACAGTCCACCGCGAACTCTTAATTCTGAGATTCACCACCTGGCCGGTAATTCGTGATTCGTGATTTGGCAACTTAGTTTAAGTAGTTAGGTAGGTTCCAGTGCTCAAGTAGGTAGGTTATCAAATTTTTAAATTCAAACGGAAACAAGCCCTTAAAAGGGTATCCTGTAAATTAGCGCTAAACGCAATCATCACATTAGATTAACCAATTAACTAGAACAAAGATGAAGATCTAAAGGCTGATCAATTGAAATGTTAAACCAAATGTTTAAACGTAAAAAACCAGAAAATAAACGTAAATTTTACTACAAGTTTTCTTCGTCATTTGCTTTCGAGCAACGGACGGATAAGCGTCGGACAGCACGCATCGCACCAATACGAAGACAGACGACTACGAAAGCACCCACATCGACCGGAGGAAAGGCTTCCCGCAATAGGCAGCATGACTAGGCCGCCGTCATCCGGTCGGCATTGACTTGCACTGGTGTGGCCACACTTTGAAAAACAACCGGCCCTTTTCAGGGCCACTCATTCAAAAACGGACAGAGTTAAGAACTAAATGATCAACATATTTGTTCCGTCCACTAGCAGTCCTAGGTCAAGCTTCCGTTCGTGTCCCTAGACACAGACCCTTCTACTTTTTTTTTAAAATAAGATTATCTTGCAAATATACCATGCAAAAATTTTCAACGTCGTTTCATATGTTGAAGGGGACCGCCACTAGAAATGTACTCCGATAATGGACAGAACTTCTCCGAAACAGATCATGTGAGATCAAATCTAGCGGATCGAATAGAAAACAACGACTACCTTTACCAACACGGAGGATCGTGAGAGCGTATACTATCCTCCAGATCGCAATGACCAACCTACCCAAGTAACCAACAAGTCCGCTAATTCGCCTGATACACGGTTGACATAGGACATACTAAGCTTGATATTAGCCACATATTAGCCTTATATTGCAAAAAAGCGAATTAGCGGGCTTGTTGGTTACTTGGGTACCTCATGATCCGAAGTTTGGCGACGATTGGTTTCATATGTTAGTGGTTGAAGCAGAAGCTGTCGTAAACTCAAGACCGCTTACATATCTCCTGTTGGACTCTACGGGAAAAGAGGCTTTAATTCTAAATCACTTCGTAATGATGAGTTCAACTGAGATCAACCAACCAGCGGAAAAAGTTGTGGAAACACCAGAAACTACCCGTACTTTCTGGATTATTATCGATTATTTTCTGGAAGCGATGGCTTTAAGATTATCCACCTACATAAGCTAGGCGTAACAAGTGAATTCTTTAAATTTATCGAACCTCTTAACGGAATCCCTTTATGAAGAGCTATGAGTGGGTTGGTTTATTTCCTTTAAATTCCGTTATAATTGCTTATCTTTTGACAGATACGCGTATTTCGTCTACTACTTGCAGACTTTTTCAGTGCCAAGTGGTGTTGAGTACTTGGCAATAATGAAGTCTGTAAGTAGTAGACGAAATATGCGTATCTGTCAAAAGATAAGCAATAATAACGGGATTTAAAGGAAATAAACCAACCCACTCATAGCTCTTCGTAACAAGTGGTTTGAGGTAACAAAACATAGGTCCTTGGGGGCCCCGTCCAGTGGGGATGTCCGGACGGCTTAAAAAATCGATGGTGCTAAATCCTGCAGTATAGCTTCGCCGCCTTAAAAAGCGCAGTACAGCTGCTTGAGTTGAGAGCACGTCTGCTAGCGTGTCCCGTACGCTGGCAGGCAGACCGTGGAGGCAACGAAGGTGCTCGAATTGAGGACATACGCATAACACGTGCTTCACCGTCGAAGGAATATGGCAGAATTCACAGGTCTTCCTGAAGGGTCATCCGCTGAAATCCCGTGAGATTAGGGAGTGTCCTGTCCGGAGTCTGGAAAAAATCCTCTTGCCCACGCTGTCCGCACTGTGCAAGTAATCCATCTCTTCACGTCCTGCAAAGGTACCTTGTGCGAGTACCGATGTGCCTGATCCGGCTAGGTTGTCCGCCTCGATGTTCCCTGGGATCCCGCAGTGTCCGGGATTCCATGCGTATGTAGTGTTTAGTGGCGCAACCTTCAAGATGCCTTGACAAAAAGGCCTGAATAACACTGTGGGAGTCCGACAGGATCAGGATTGGGCGATCCGCAGGAACCGTGACGGCATGAAGAATGGCCGTTGGTTCTGCAGAGAACACCAAACATTGTTTTTGCAGGCTTCTACTCGTTGGGGAAATGTCACCAGCGATTCCCATTCCGACTCCAGCTCTCGATCTTGACCCGTCCGTGTAACGATGCATGTAGTTTGGGTACAATCCGGTCAGCTCTGCTACCGATCTCCTAAGGGCTACGAAATTGTCCGGCTGTCGATGTTTGGTGCGAGAGATTGCCAACTCTTTTCTCCGTACCAGCGAATCTTGGCCACTGGGGGGAGCTCTGCGTTGCCGATTGTACGGAGAACTCCGTTCCCCTTGCTGAGGAGGCAGACTCTGTCGTTTCCCGCGGTATTTGCTGAAAATGCAGCGGCTTTGTTGGCAATGGCTACGTAGATGCGGTACCGGAAAGGGAGAGTGCCGGCTTCGACACAGCTGGTATGCGCGTATAGCTCACTCCGGTGGCACAAAAGTCATCCAAGAACACTTTGCTTGAAGCCGATTTTGTTGGCTCTTTGGTTCGATTATACGTCAGTTATTGACAGCTGATGTAAACATTACGAGTTTCAGCTCCGTTTATGCGTTTGTTTGAACGGCCGTGGTAACGTTATGGTATTGATGAAAATTCATCAAGTGATTAAATAGTGTTTTGAATTATTCTCTCGGTGTTTTTCAGTTGCGTTTCTATCGCTCTATGAAATTATAAGAAAGCAGTGCATGCAAGTGAGTTCACGATAGCTTCCAGAAACATCGGATGGGTGAAACTCATCGCAAGCCATGATGATGGTAACGTATGACTGAACCATAAAATCATTCCAACATCAACGCCACCGCTATCACTGACGGCAGCTTCAAGAACCAATGGCCGTGCCAAAGGATTGGTGTAGCTATTTTACACCGGAGCGAGTATTTGTATTGCCTTGTCGGTAGCGATGCAGGTTAGGTCCAGTCCATACATCAGCCAGCTGTCTACGATGGCCCGGGCAACACGGAAACGTACTTCTCTGTTGTTGGACCGGTGGGGACGGGAGATTGTGCGGATGAGGTTGATCCTGCTGCGACAGCTGGCCTTGACCCCTTGAAGGTGCTGGTCAAAACTCAGCGACCGGTCAATGACAACCCCCACCAGTTTCACAGTTTTCTTCAATGGGATAGCTTGATTACCGATCCGCAGACCCGATGTCGGTACTGGCAAACATGGCACCTAGCGCTCTTTCCAGCAGACAGCTGAAAACATTTCGAAGCGGCCCATCTGGCTACGGCGGAAACCCCTGCTTGGGCTCTAATCCTCGTTCGTCCCGGAGTTTGACCTGTGGCTACGATTAGCACGTCGTCTGCGTACACGAAGATGTAGATGTTCGCTGGTAACCGCTCGAAGACACTGTTCATGGCTACCAGGAAAAAAGTGACAGCGATCACTGAACCTTGGGGAACGCCAGTTTCCTCGCAGAAAATGCGGGAACGTCAAAATGAAAATATACAGTAGTGAAGTAAATTTTTCTAGATATACAGTTAGCGGTATTGAGATGAGTGAGATTTTCTGATTGTAAATAACAATTTGTAGTACTGCATTTGTTAATGATTGATGACATTTATTCTTTAGGGACCGACATTAGGGACACTAACCCTATATATAAAAATGTCTATAACTTGAATTTAAACCTGAAGTTACCTTATTTGAAATAATTTTTTCCTTGATTTGTTTTCCGTCGAACTTGTTTTCCGTGTTGAGCACCAATGATACTGACGCCAGGGAGGCAGCTCCCACACCAGGACCCTACCTATCGACCCATCAACTCATGAACCGGGGACTAACGGCTTTACTTCCCTTCCGAAAGCCTGCTGGGTGAGAGATAATCACGTTTACCACTATACCACCGGCGCCGCTTAAAAATTGAAATTTATAACCATTTTCTGTAGGCTCACCTTGGAGTAAACTTTAATGTTATGCAGTTATAGGATAAATAGGATTCATATCTTTTGGCAATTTTTCATACGAAGGGCGTATAGTATAGCTCTCGAGCCTTACTGCCTATGCCTGTAAACTTGTTTCTGGAATTGCATTTCCAGTCCAACTAATAGATACAATTTTTTAATCCCAACATTTAAGCTTGATTTTAGGACAAGAGTCTATTTCTAACACATTGCACACTTCCGTAGTCTCATATTAATGCAATAGCATTTGTCTCGGTGACAGCTGAATTCACATAAAAGTCAACATCCCACACTTACCAGTAACTAGCTTATCAAACAGCCCCTGCACCGACTCGGTGGAGCAGGCTACAAAATCGGCATCCGAAAATCTGCATGTTTTGATGAACTGAGCTGCAATAAAAGGATAGACGAATGATAATCACTTTCACTCTTAAAATCTACACTTCCACTGGCACTATTTTTGGATAACGTACGTTTCTCATCGAACTTTGATGAAACACACAGCTGTACGACCAGGACCAGCTGTAGAGCAACTAGTATCACTAATTTCCTAACTGGCATTCCCATTTTCCTTTCGTTCACCGTGAAACTTGAATGTAACTAGAACGCACTGCAGAAATCCGGTTTAGTCCTAAATTCACCACACGGCTTTTAAAGCACCTTTCAAGAAACAGATTTTCCAGTTCTAACCGAACACTTCAAAGATCGTCAACTATCTGAAAAGCCTCGGCTGGCCGCTGGCTGTTAAATATCAAGCCCCCGCAGTAGTAAGGCACTTAGCCTAGGTTCTAGCTAAAAACACCCGGTAGCACCAGCTACCGGCGCAATCCGCTCCCTCTCTCACCACTGACCGGGCAATATGCGGCACAAGTGACGCGAAGGCGATGAATTCGGATATCCGACGACGAATGCGTTGAGAAAAAATGCATCTCTCAGTACCAAATGGGCCGGCCGGTTGTTGACTATGTTGCTAGATTAGGGATGCTGTGCTGCCATATTGCAGTACCAGCGAGAGGGGTTGACAGCCCTAACGATTGCATTCTGATGAACCCGGCTCCATTCAACAGGTCATTCGCGCAGAGGCGTGTGAATGCATTTACCTCTGTTAGAATAGACACATTAGTGTTTGCTGGTCGTGCACGGTGCGTTGAGTGCTATTAGTAACTACTAATAGATGGTAATAACTGTTTACGGTGGTGAGCGCTAGGCAAGTTGGTGGCGAACAGCGACGATCGGTCAGCTAATATTAACTTGTCGAATGAACCATCTCTTACCTGTGAGGTGGTGTAGTTGGGTGTTTAGATTAATGATGCAACTGAAAGATGGTTTTTGCAGTGCCTTTTCTTGAACTGTTAGTTATGATTAGAGTGGAGTGCATTTGTGAGATTCAGTGAAAAATATTATGATTGATTTGGGGACAGGAAGTTTATGCATTCAGCAATCTTCGAAGCGAATATTTTAAATTTTTTCCTAAAAAATATGCAGTACTTCCAATATTTGTGTTATGAATCTGAAGGCTTTCAAACACGATGCACAGCAAGTTTCATTCAAATCAAAGAAGGTCACGCTAAGATTCCTTTTTTAAACATGAGGAGTTCATTCGAGTTTTCCTGCTCTCGTTTTTTTGGCACTGACTAATTGCAATTTTTTGCCGAAACGCGAATTACAAGAACCTTGCAGACAGTTTGCAAGTAAAATCCTAGCAGCGAGCTGTTAAATTCATTTGTTATTGTTATTGACGGTGTTTCTATTGCTTTTTACTCTTATCAAAAATGAATAAGCAATTGTCATTCTGTGCGTGAAAACTTGCAGCACGTCCTTTACTCGTCCGCTCCAACACGAATTGTGAACCATCATATTGTGAAGTCAAGCTGACAGAGTACACAGAGGAAAAAAAATACCCTAAATTTAAGTTCTTTTTACATAATTTTGGATAATTTGCATAACACTCTCACTTCTTTTTGTTGTTGTCAAAAACGAAACGAGAGATTCGATATTCTCAGGACTATCGTTCAATCAGCTACTAGTATGATATATTCTCAAATTTGAGTATTCCTCCAATATTCTTCATTTGTCAAAAGTAACCTTATATGCAATGATTTCTCGTAAAAAATGTTGTCTGAACAGTTTTTTAAATATGTATGGCGCACATATAATTTGTGCATGTGGATTTTTGTGCTATTAGTTCCATGAAAAACAGCGACGGTCGTATTTGCCTAACTTATCTATTTTTGACAGTAAGGTATATACGATTACAAAACTTAATTAAATTATCTTAACAAATAGGACCATCGCTGTATGAGCAATTGGGGTGAAATGGGCCACTTCCTGTCATCTACCGTCGATAAAACCATCACCAATGGAATTGTCATGATTACCCAAGTATCAATTCGAGCTGAACAGTAAGAACAGAAGCTGATTATTGGTTGATTTAAGGTGTACAAGCTGATTAACAGCAGGCTGCATATATAGTTGATTAGTAGTGCGTGAAGCTAATTGTATCCTCATAATTCAACCTCAATAAGCTCAGCTGATCTAAAGATTGAACAAGCCTTATTTTAGCTTATCACTACTCCACAAATCAGCAATGCACTACAAATATTTTGATAGCCTGATTTGTTAAATGTAGTCAGTATCACTAGTTGCATTTCCGGCAATTTAGTTCTTCCAAATGCACAGCCTACCTTTCTAATCCCAAGCAGCGGCAGTAGTAGAGACTAGGTAGAGGAGCTTTTAAGAAATAGCACGAGGTAGAAGTGAGCTGCGACGACGTCGGAAGCATTAACATTTGTATTTATGTGTTTCGACTGCTATAGGGTTAACTACCCCATTTCCGGCCTATTAAGCAGAACCCGCACTTAGTATTTCTTAATCTAGCGCAGTTTAGCACAAAACGGAATGTTATTATTGCTGACGGCTTTCAAATTTATTTAGCTTTCCGTATGTACCGTAAGATTTGATAAAGAGAAACCAATCGTTGAGATATTGTCAAAAGTCTAACACCCTAGCGGCACACTTCGATCGAAATTAGTTGCTGATACTTGATTGTGACCGGAATCAGTTGTACACAAGTGACCACGATTGCTCAGTGACAAGTGTGCTGCTAGGGCACTACTTCTTGACGCCAAATTCGGCCTACGGATTCAAAACTCGGCCTAACGCATTGAAACGCCATTGAAACGCCAATGAATTCACTTCGGCCTATCGGATGATGATAAAAATTGATTCGGTCGGAGCGCTTCTTTTGTTTTGGAGAATAATGGGTGAAAACCTTCATATCACGCGTTCTCATTGACTTCGTTCCGTAGCTTATGAACTAAAGTATCGTACCAAACGCATAATTGACTTGTTAACTCTGAAATCATGGATTTATTTGAAGTTTCCTGCTCGATAGGCCCAAAATGGGCGATTAGGCCGAAGTAGTTTTCTACCCTATTGCACTGCATTTTCAGACAGAATTCCAAAAATATAACTCAATTATGGCACTAAAACAGCTTCCACATGACGATCGAAAGAAATCACGCACTTATGTCCACGTTGTGTTAACTACACTTGAAAATGAGAGGAATGTTTTACTGTCACCAGTTGTTGTTAACAATTCAGCATTGCTGTATAATACTCTTCCGGTTGCTGTTATTCAACTTAAATTTGACGTGTTTCAAGTTAATGATCATACCTTTTGCAACACATATGCTTAAGTGGTCCAGTAGGTATGTTGGTGCCTGTGAATCAGCGACTGCCGGTTCGAATCCCGAGATGCAAAGGTATTTTTTAGACTTATAATAACAATATAAAACGTAAATCCAATTAGTCAGCACCTTGTTGCAGTCCATAAAAATATAATAACACTAGAAGGTTGAACAAAAGTTGAAAAAGACTGTTATTTAATGCCTTAAAAAGCTTATAATTCATATAACTGTTAAGCTTTTGGCTGATTAAAATCACCAGATTTAGAAGTTTAAAAGCTGAACAGAGGTTAGCGTGGTCTATGTACAACAATTATTAAAACAAATGCTGAATTAAAATCGATTGAACAATAGTTGTTAAGCATCAAATTGTTACCTGGGTATTTGCATAAGAATAGCTAGTTTTTAAAGACCTCAAACAGCGGCAGGAATAAGTTTCGTTTTTGGCTCGATTTTGCCACTGTGCAATGGGGGAAGCGGGAGTTTGAAAATATCAAAAAATTACATAGAGGAAATGGCTCTAATGTTGGCCTATGGACCCAAGATTGGGCCCATCGCTAAAAATCTGTTATTTATCAATTTTATCTAACGCGTCATTGGGACGCTACTAATGGCTAGTTTTTGGTCGCTATTGATAATTTTGTCGATTGCTGAATTTATAAGCGGGCCCAAATTGGGCGGCATTACATCCATACATACATTACACATTTTCCCTACGTAGTTATTGATCCCCTACGTAGTTTATGAAAAGCCCCTATCAAAATTAATTAACGTCTTGTGGTCCCTCCCACGTCCTTCTCCTGTTCGGCCATTTACTGCGCCAGTCTTTCTCCTGCCATCCACTCCAGCAGACGCCGCATGCATCGAAGCGGGTCTTCCTCCTCCCTTCCACCGCCTTTTCCGCCAAGACCTCCGGAAACAATAGGATCTTTCTCCTCGACGAGGGGAACAGAATCCTCCGCACGGCCGCCGGCATCGACCTCCCCCCAGTGGCCAAAGTCCATTGGCATGGAGAGAAAAGTTTAAACTCAAGAACCGCTTCAAAGCAGAGGATGCATCCGTGATTTTGCGCAGATCGGTCGCAGAGTTACTTGGGTCCAACTATGCCGACCACGTACACCGGTACACCGATGGCTCCTGATCGATAAACGGAGTAGGTATCGGGATTTTCGGAGACGGTATTGCTGAAAGCAGCAGTCTTCCTCCACAGTGCTCGGTTTTCTCGGTCGAGGCTGCAGCGATCTTCCGTGCCGCTACGAGGCCAGCCAGCAAACCGATACTTATCTTAACCGTCCCACACAGCGTCGTTCAAGCGATCACCTCAGAAGCACCAAAACACCCATGGATCCAGGCGATTATCAAGTACGCCCCACCGAACACCGTGTACACATGTATTCCCGGACACTGCGGAGTGCCAGGTAATGAGTCTGCGGAGCCAGGACATCGGGTCCCAGACTCACCGACAGGACGTCAGACGGTGGATCATACGGACCATTCAAGCGGCATGGGAGGCCGAGTGGTTCCGCAACAGAACTGCCTTCATCCGCAAAGTCAAAGGGTCAACGCGTGATTTCGCGGTTTCGGACCGGGCACACCAAACTCTACTATAACTATGGTGGCCTGCCGTTCCGCAGAAGCTGCATAATCTGTGGGGTACCCTACACCGTCGAACACATCCTGTGCAACTGCCCGGAGTTCCAAAATCTTCGGGAGTCACTCTGCCTAACTTCCAGCATCAGCGATCTGCTCTGGAATGAAACTTCGGCCTCGGCAGCACTAGTAGCGTTCTTAAAAGAAGCCAAAATCTACCACTTTGGTATAGCAGGAATTTCTTTCGACCATCTGGACATCTCAGCTGGGAGTCCCCTATTGAACCCATGCCAGCTGAGCTCTGTTTTGTTTGGATTATTCGTTTTTAGCTTGTTTTAAATCATTTTGTTTTCTGTTGTTCCTCTGTTTCACTATTTTATATATTGTTATTTTTCCATATAAGTTGAAGAGCCAGCAACCAAAGTTATTAACAAAATATTAATATACCATGTATTTATAGGTTACTCACTCTGAGGCCTCTCCTTTCTCCGGAAATGCAGGCTAAAAAACTCCTTAATAAAGAATCAAAAAAAAATGCGCCAGTCTTTTGAAATTCACTGAACTCACCTGCAAATTTCAGGAACTGGAAATTTATTCGATTTGCCTTTAAACTGACCTACGTGCTCCAAGCCTGTCCTTAAATTTATATAATTGATTCAAGCTCAAAGTCCCTATCTCTATGTCTAATTGTAGCGCTCAGAATTATAAGGGCTTAACTGCGATCGATTTTATCTTCGGATTACCACAGTTCAGTGAACCAATTTTCCGAAA